TCTCGGGGATGCCCCGGGCTGGTGCTCCCGATGCGTCTAGGCTCGGCTCGCGCCAGCGCGACCTCTGCTCGGCCGCCTGATCGCAGCTTCCCGCCGCGCCGTGGACCACTCTCCTGCTTGCTCCTGGCCCTGGCACTGGCTGCTCACTGTGAAGGGCAGAGTGACCCCCGGGGCCGCTCCCGCGCCTGCTGCTCGCGGTTGGGGCGCGCTTGCTGCAGTTTCGGAGGTGGTGAGCGGGACCCTGGGAGCATCCTTGCGCAAATGATTCCTTTATCTTCCCCGTCTCCCCCTTGGGGGGTAACCCCGAAAGCAGATGGGTGGGAGTGGGCTTCGGGGTTTCTTACCCCGTGGGGCGGGTTTGCTTGTGAAAAGCCCGATCTGGGTTCCGAGGCCACAGAGCCGACCACAGAGCCCACCGGCGACCTCGCGGGCGCGCGGTGCTGACTGCGCAGGGGAGCGAGGACGCAGGCTCTGGCCGGGGTGCGGGGTGCGCCCGTGCGCGTGCACGTGAGGGCGGGCAGCGGCCCGGCCCCGCCCAACCCCCACCTCCATGAACTCTGAACCTGGGCACGTGTCTTCCCGCTCAGGCCTCGGTTTTCCCCTGCAACCAATGAGGGGGCTGGACCAGGGCGGCGGCAGAGAGCCGCTGCAGCCCGGGACGAGCCGGGGTGCTGGGCGAGGTGGTTTCCAGGCAACAGTGTTTGTTTGTGGCTCTGATGTAGCCGAACAGCTGTGAGCGCTCCGTCTGGGCTCTGGCTCGGGGCAGCCGGCCAGGGTCGCACATGGCGCCAAACCCAGCAGCTTTCGGGGCAGCGGAGGGGCCATCCGGGAGGGCGGCCCTCGGCCAGGAGCAGGAGCGGGGTGACAGCTGGCTTTCAGGGAGGAAAGGTGCTCCCTCCTGGACCTCAGCAGCCCGGCCCTCGCCACTCATGCTGGCCACTCGTTTCTGGCCTGGGACCTCTCCAGAGAACATTCAAGCAAGCCGGGCTTCAGAACCGGACACTGAGGCCTCACGACAGTAGGGCCCGCTTCTACCTGGGCCAGCTGGTGCCCGTGGGCCGCAGGATTTCCCGTTTCTGGGCCTCAGTGATGCGTGTATGAGGCTCCTGCCTTGCACACGTGGCTGTTGGGGGCTCCGGCAAGGATGTGCACGGTGGGGGGCCCCAGGCGGGGCCACAGGACCCAGCGTGCTCCCTCTCAGTGGACGTCATGCCCGGCCTGGGGCTGGGATCGAGCCTGTCTTCCTCAATGCGCCAGCTTTCACTTCGCTAATGCGGGTCCAAGGTGTGGGCCCCCCAACTTAGACCCCCGCCCCGGCCCAGGATCCGAGCAGGAAGCCCTCTGGCGCTGCTAGCTGAGCACAGCCCCTGCTCTCCTGCCTCCTTGTGGGGACTCATGCCGGGGTGGGCGTGGGAAGTCTCCCAGAGGCCCTTCGGGAAGGGCGCCGCCCTCCCCCATGCCGCACCGGCCCACCTGGGGAGGCCACGGGCGCTCGGGCCAGCGCTGAGTGACTGGCGTGATGGACCCGGGCCCCACGCTCAGAGCAGGGACGCCCACCTGCCTGGACTTGTCAGAGAAGCTCCGTGCAGGGGCCTGGGCCCATGCTGCCTGCTTGAGGGGCCTGGGGGGCGGCGGGAAATAGTGTGGGAGAAGGTGGGAAGGGGCCGTGCCTGTGCGTGTGTGCAGAGGCAGCTGACTGGCCGCCAGGTGCTCCCTGGGCGCCTGCTGTGGGCCGGGGCTTCCGGGACGAGCACTTGCAGCGGACGCCCTGGGGTCTCTGGTCAGGCAGGTCCCCACGGAGTCCAGGGAGCCGTGGGCCGCGGAGCTGGTCCCACTTGGGGCTCCCCGGCCCCACGCCAGTCTGCGTGGTGTGTGCACCTGGCAGCGACAGGAAGGCTCCACTCGATGGGTGCCACAAACAGGAAGTCCCGGTGAGCCTCTGGCCCTCGCATCTGGCGCCACGCGGCCACGCGGGCCGCCTGCTGCTCAAGCCGGGAAGGAGCGGCTGCTGCTAATTACGCCCCCACGCGCAGACAGCGCGCCCCCACCCGCGCCCTCCCCCTGCACCTCCCCATGCCCTCCAGCTGCAGCCCGAGCCTCCCTCGGGCGCCTCTGGGGATGTGGCATGTGGCGGGAGGGGTGGGGTGGGGGCAGCAGAATGGTGCCTGGAAGACCCGCAGATGCTCAGTTCCGGTTGAGCCAGGACCCCCCTCTCCCCCGCCACTGGCCCCCCACAAACCCAGGCTGCTGCTTTACCTTTTTCCTAAGGCTCACAGGACGCTGGTTGCCCTGGGCCAGGTCTGGACGCGGCTGAGGTCACCAAATCAGATGGCGAGGCCCTCCTGGGGCCTGTGGGTGACACGAGAGCACCAGCCAGCACCACCAGGGTGCCGTGGGGGTGCCGGCAGCCGCGGGAGTCCGTAGACTTGTGCTTGGGGCATCAGGGAAGCCTCCCTGGAGGAGGTGGTATCGAAGTACTGAAGGTTGAGCAGGTGTTATCGAGGTGACACCAGCTGGAGGTGAGGTGAGCCTGGCCTTTCTGAGGACAGATGGTGGGAGGTGCTGCCCGGGGGCCTGGGCGGGGCGGGGCGGGTCCTTGCAGGCCACAGGCTGTGCTGTGCACTTGGGCTTTGTGCAGAGAGCAGCGAGGGCCGCAGAGGGTTAAAGCAGGGCCGACAGGAAGGCTTTGGGGCGCTGGGGGCAGGCACCGGCCAGGCCGTCAGTAATTTGGGCTTTTTCTTCCCATTTCTTCCTGTGTGATATGGCAGCCAGCACCCCTTTCTGGGGCGCGCCCTGGGACTGCTCACAGGAAGGACAGCACAGCTACCTGTCCAGAGTCTTTTCTGACTTTGGGAAGGCCTCTTCCTCCCCAGAGGCTCCCAGTGGGGGAGGTGGGGGAAGGGCTCCGGGCCTCCAGCCGTCTCAGTAGTAGAAGGCAGCCTCAGATTAGGGTGTCCCGGGCTGCCTGTTCAAGTATGGAGAAACTGGAGTTCAGAGAGGGCCACCCCCTGCCAGGGCCGCACAGTGTGCTGTAGTGGAACAGGCCCGCGGATCCAGAGCTCTGGTCCCGGCCCAGGCCTCCCGTGCTGGCTCACGTCGGCCCGTTTGAGCTGAGTTTGCAGAGAGTCCCGGAGGGGAGCGAGCCCCGTGCACACTGACCAGCCCTGGCTGGGCGGACGGCGCTGTGGTGTCACTGAGTTGTGGGTGAGTGCAGCCAGGGCACAGGGGAAGTTCACCTGCCCCGGACAAGTCACGAGCCGAGCGGTGCTTTGCATCCACTTGAAGGACAAGCGACCTGCTCCCGGCTCCCAGCCCTTGGGCGCTGAGCAGAGCTGGGCTTCTTACTGGCCACAGGATTTCTGGGGCACCGGGGGCTTTGCCAGCACTGTGCCCCGTCCAGCTGCAGGGACTCCAGACGAGGCCGCTGAGCGCAGGGGGAGGTCCCTGGCTCGAGGTCGTCTGGCCAGAGGCAGAGCGGTGGTCCCCATAAGGCCAGCTGCCCTGAAAGCTCCCCACCCGTTCCACAAGTAACAGAGGATGAGAAGCCCTCTCCTACAGGGTAGGAGAGGTGACTCCACCTGTGAGAGCCAACATGCATTTCAGTCACCCAGAATTCCATCCTTGTGATGAGGCACGAGCAATAGTGTGCAGAAAACCTGATGCGGAAAGAAAGGGGAAAGGGAGGAGGAAGGGGGAGGGAGAGAGGAAAGGAAACATAGCAGTGCTTAAATGTCAACTCAAAGGGAAAGGAATTTATACACGGTGGTATGCTCCTTCAAAGGAATACTATACAGCAGAGAAGAATGAACCAGACCGCCACAACCCTAGGCCATCTACAGAAGTGTTTTAAATCACTGCCGTTGTTTGTGGGTGTTCTGTTGTCACCATGGTAGCAGCTGGCCTTTGCTGAGCACCTCTCTGCTGCAGGCCCTGGGCTGGGAATGAGTCACTCAGTTCTCAGACAAGCCGAGGAGGATGAGCACTGCCATTGCCTCATTTTTCCAGAATGAGACAACTGGGGCACAGAAAGGTTAAGTGACAGGCGCAACCCCACTCAGCAGGCGTGTGGCAGGATAGGGCCGGGCCCAGGAGGTCCAGGCCTGCGCGTGGTTCTAGGGTCCGTCACCAGTGCATCATTCACAGCTGTCCTCAGCACTGGCCCCAAGGACCTGCGGAATTCTCGGGGCAGACAGGAAGAGGCACTGGCTGCATAGGGGTTATTATCCCTTTGCAGACGGGGACTCAGACAGCAGGCTCTGCCTAGTGGCCGTGGGGGAGCGAGGTCCGGCGTCACCGGCCTGCCTGAGAAGTGCATGCCAGCACTTGGCTTGCAGCTGCCTGGGGGTGGGGGCTACCATTCTCCCTGTTTTGTAGAGAAGGAAGCTGGGGGTCAGAGGAAGGGGACTGGAGCCCAGGCTCTAGAGCCAGCTGTGACTTGGGAACACATTGCTGAGGCGCTGATCCGGAGGGCAGCCTCACCCCCGCGTGGGCTGCTCGAGCTTCAGGCCAGCCAAGGCCGGTGGCCGAGGCTGGCCTCCCTGTTATGCGGGACGGGGCTGCTCAGTCAGACATGTGCCAGTGACCTCATGGCCCCGGGGGGCGCCGGGGGCCAGTGCAGCTGCAGGGGTCTGGCTGGGGGCCTGGGCCCCATGTGGTGTGATTCAGCAGGTGATTTAGCAGGGTGGGCTGCATGGGGAGGCCGCGGGTGAGGGGCTTCTGTGGGGCCCAACACAGGGCTGGAGCAGAGCGCCAGAAAGGACTGGATTCGGACTTGCTCGCCCTGAGAGCGCCTCTGGGCTGGCGGCTGCCCCTGCAGCCGGGAGGGGCCTCAGCCCCCGCACAGGGCAGTGGGTGTTCAGGGGAGGGGCCTCTGCTGGAGCCACGGCTGACCAGGTGCTGGGGACCTCGTGGGGTCTGCGCCCACCCCCAGACATGTCATCTTACTCTGCCCCTTTGACAAATGAAGAAGCAGAGGCTCTAAGATCTGCGGGTACCGGCTTCACCCAGCAAAAGTTTGTTTGGATTTGCGCCCAGCCCGGTGAACTCCTGGCCCAGTGCTCTTTGGTGGGGTGGTGCCGGGGCCCGGTCCTGGCTGGGGATTTGCAGAGGCAGAGACTCTGGGGGATGGGCAGGCCATTGAGCCTGCTTCAATCCTGGAGGGCTTCCTGGGAGTGGTGGCTGGTTCCAGTTGGGCTTGAGGCCTTTCCAGACGGTGGTTGGGCTGGGGTCTCACCAGTTGCCCCTAACTCCGCAGGCGTGGCCTCCTCCAGTCGGGCTCCCTGCATCTGGCCCAGGCCCAGGTCGGCGACAGCGGCCTCTACAGGTGCACGGCCAGCAACCCCGCGGGCTCCATCTCTCGGCGCTACGTCCTTGGGGTGCAAGGTAGGGCGTCACTGGGGGCTCGGCATGGGGGTATGAGGAGTCCCACGAGGGCGGCCTTGGAGGGTGGGTCTGAGGGTCTCTACGCGGAGGCATGAGGAGGTCTGTGGCCCCCGGAGAAGCCCCCAGCCCCACCTCTCTCACGCCCACGCAGCCAGGCCCTGTGCACGGGCGGGAGCGGCTGCTGGCGGGAAGCCCCTTCTGTGCCAGCTTGGACTGGGTGCCAAGCCCACTGGCCTGGAGTAGCCGTGCCACTGGGCGCTGGTCCCAGGAGCTGGCCAGGGCGTTGGTCATCCCCAAGAGTCCAGGAACCCTGAAGACTGGGGTCAGCCACCCACAGCCCTCAGCCACATCTGGTCCAGGAATGGTGTCCACATTCTTAAGTGACAGGGGGAAGAAAGTCAATATTTTGCAGCATGTGACATGGTGTGAAATTCACATTTCTGTGTCCATAAATACACGCGTCTTGGCACCCAGCCCATGACTGTCCTATGGACTCTCTGGCTGCTGTCCCTGGTGGTGGCCGGGGGAGTAGCCGAGACAGGGACCATCTGGCCTGCAGAGCCTGGGGCGTTTACTCTCTGGCCTTGGCAGGAAGGCCCCTCCCGATGCAAGTAGCACCCTGTCTTCCTGGGGGTGGACCGAGGCCTGGAGTGGGTGGCCACGGCGCGATGTGGGCGTCCGGATGTGGGAGAGACGTGGAGACGGGCTGGGCGTGCTCCCGGCTCCGCCGCCCCGCCTGGAGAGCCCCGACTTCCTGCTTTCTGAGTGGGGGCTACAGTGGTGCCCCTCACGCTTGTCAGAGGGGGCTGGTGACATCGGCTGGGCTCTTGTAACCCCAGTCCTCCCCAAGTCCCTCTCCAGTCTCCCCCCCCCCATCCCCCTGGGAAGGAGAGAGCAGAGTGGGCAATCAGAACGTCACAGCTCGTGGGGCCCCCCAGGACCAGCTCCCAGCTGGCGGCCTCAGTGCTGGTTTTCAGACGATCCTGGCGGCTCCGCGAGGGAAACTGAGGCTCATGGGCGCCCCCCTGGGCTGGGGCGGAGCTGGGGTTCACAGCTGCGCAGCTGCTGCTCCGGCGTCGCTGCGCGCCAGCGTCCCTCTGTCTCGGGCCTCAGCTGCCCCGTCCACTCTGGCGGGTGATCTCCGTGGCATCCGGTGGATGGGGGAGCCGTGGCAGAGGGGGGAGGAGTAAGCTGGGGAGCAACTCTTCGATGAGAGCACGCATGCACATGGGAAGCCAGATTCTGCTCGCTTCGGGGGGCCATGGGGGGGTGTTCTCTTCCTGACGGCATGAGCAGTCGGCTCTAATTGTTCCCAGGGTGACGTGTGCTGGTTGGCGACTTCCAGGGGTGTGGGGACCCCTGCAGCCAGCTGGGCTCTCTGTGTGCGTCTGGCTCTGTGGCCCCCCACCCCGGGCGCCCCGACCTTAGCACCCTCCCCCGGCGCTGTCAGTGCCCCCTCAGGTGCAGAAGGGCCCGAGGGTCTGGAAGGTGCTGGCAGGAGAAGTTGTGGACCTGAACTGTGCAGCCGAGGGCACCCCTGAGCCTCAGCTGGAGTGGTCCAAGGATGGGGCAGCCCTGCAGGCCGGAGTCCCCCGGGGCTCGGTCCACTTTGCAGCCGTGCAAACCTCCGATGCCGGGCTGTACCGCTGTGAAGCCTCCAGCATCGCCGGGGTGGATGCCTGGGAGCTGGAGCTCAGGGTGCTGGGTGAGTGTCCCCTGAACCCCGGAACTCGCCTCCACCCGACCACCCCCAGCAGCCTGGGCGGTGAGATGCGCATCTGGCCTCGGGCCTACCTGCTTGAGCTCGGCCTCCCTGGCTGAGGGGGCGTCAGGGAGCCTCTGTTGGCCTCTGGGGTGGACAGAGGCGCTGGGCGGTCACAGGCCAGCGGTCGTAGAGCTGGTGCCAGGCCCAGGTCCAGCCTCTTCCCCTCGTCGGCTGGACAGGACACCCGTGGTGTTCTCACCTGCCGAGCGGGTCTAACAGGTGCGAGGGGTCAGGTGAGCTTGTGTGTGCAGCTGAGGCGTGTGGAGAGTTCTGGGCCAGCGTTCGCCCTGAGGAACT